ACCGAGCTAAAGAAAGCAAAGCCAAATGACGGAAGAGTATATTCAGATGGACTGCCTGGAGGTGCGGCCGCCCTGGGCGGCTGCGGAGGCCGGTGCCGGGAAGGGGGGCGGGGGGCGAAGCCGGCCCGGCGGCCTCCGCCGCTCCGTCCCGGCTCCGTCTTGCGACTGCTGCTACTCGCAATGAAAAAGCGGAGACTGCAGGCGACGTTCCTCTGTGCTCTTTGCGGGTCCTTAATGCCACCGGGCAGGGGAGGGAGAAGCGGTCCCTCCTGATGCTGCTGAGAGGGGTTGTGTGTTTCTTCCTTTCTACCCTGCAGAAGAGGAGGAGGAAGAGGAGCCATGCGCTAAGCGGAGGGCATAGCGGAGCCTTGTTTTAGCCCTGAACTGAAGGAGAAGGGCGGAGGTGAGGGAGGGTAACTTTGTCTGCAACCCTGCAGAACTGTGTAGCTTGAAAAAATCGCTTAGGTGCAGCGCGCAGTCCACTGAGCAGAAGCCCTCTGTGATCTGCAGGAGCTTATGGGAAAGAGGCACCGTAGAGGAGCTGAGCGTGTGCAGAGGAGTTGAAAAGGAAGGGCGACGCTGTCCCTGCTCCAGCCAGTGTCTCCCTGCACCCCTGCGTACGTACGCACAACACACGCACGCACGCACACAGAGATGCAGCAGCGACCATCTAGAAATGAGGAAACATGAACCTACTGTTACTCGCCCAACCGTTTCCGCTTCGGGGACACAGCGAGCACCTCGCTGCGCCCACCCGTGCCCCACCGAGGAAAACCATCCGCCAGTAACCCCATAAGTCGAGTGACTGGGCGGGAAGCGGTGGGGAGGGGCTTGCGGAGCCTGAAGGGAGCGGGCTGAGATGGGAATGGGGGAGAAGGGGGACTGCAGAGGTGGCAGAATGAAGCAGGGCACGCTTTGTCCCTGCTAAATATTCCCACATGCCAGGTACCCATCACTGGAAATGGAAATCCTTTCCATTTTCTCATCACTTCTTCTGTCAATGAGCCGTTTAAAATCTCACTGCTTCATCTCCCTTTTATTTTGAAAGCCACCCTTGTTCCGCTTGTCATAACTGCAACAGAGGAACAGAGGAACAACAGCAGAGGCAATGCTTCATTTTAGCCAGGCAGACAAAAGAGCAGATCTTGGTGCTCTATGCTTTCTGTCTTGGAGCGACAGCTAAACAGAAGAGATGGAGGAGTCTTGTGGTCTCTGGTCATTTCGCCTGATTTCATCTCTGGTTTGCTTCCACAAACAGATCACAAGCATTTTCTAATTTTTTTTTTTTGGTGGAGGAAGATGCCAAACCGAAGGGGTGCAGTGATTTCTCTCCTAAATCCCAGGAGGCAAAGCTTACTGATGCTTGTTTCATTTTTGCTTATAAAAGAACTGCCATGGGTTTGACTTTTATTTTCTTTTTTTTTCTTTTATCCCCTCTCCTTCCCTTTCTGTAAGGGAGTTGGACGGTGGAAGTTTCCACTTGCTGCTCCTCCAAGCTTTGTTTGTATCTCCCATGCCTAAATGGTGCTTCTCAATTCTCCCATGGGAGGGTGGGGGAGAAGGGGAAGAAGCTTTCCTAGGTGTCTTACACATCTAAAGGGAAGAGCACAGCATCCATCATCCCCTGCAGCTGGCCAGGAATGACCCTGCTTGGCATTTTCTAAGGGTTGAGTTGTGGGGTTTTTTTGTTTATTTGTTTGTTTGTTTGTTTGTTTTAATGCCTTCTGTGCCTTCTCTCACTTTCCAATGGTGCCATTTCTTCACTTTTTTACTCCATGTTTATCCAAGGAAGATTTTGTTGGAGATTGATCCATGGCATAATGGGATATTGTGTAAGCAGTTAAAGATTTTAATTGAAGAAGGTACAATTCCTCTTTACTTCAGCTCTTACTATCATCCCTTCCCCAGCAGTTCTGACAATTTCCGTCCTCACATTTTTTCCCTCTTTCTTCTCCCTTTTCTAAACCCTCCCAAGTATTGTTGCAATGTTCCAAAGAGGCACAAATTTATAGATAAACATGAAGACTTTTTTGTCTATATGGATATATACAGGGAGCACATAATTAATCAGATTTGAACATGGCTCTGTAAGCACCCTGGGATAGTTTGACACCTGTAACAATGGAACAGCTATGGATCAAGACTGGAGAAGTGGCAACAGGACGATGACAAAATAGGAAGGGCCTGAGAGGCAGATATCAAGCAAAGCTGTTGAAGTGGTCTGGGTGACAGGAACCCCAGCAACAGTTTGGGTGTTACGATGTGGTGCTGGATATTCAGCAGAGGTGATTAAGCACGGAAGGGTATGGGCTAGAGCTTGCAGAGGTGGGGTGTGGTGAAAAGGCCTTGCCAGTCAATGGTAGAGCAGATGCAGGATCTGGGAAGTCATCTTGCTCCCAACATCTGGAATGTTTGAAATGGGCAGGTATTCATTCATTGTTTGCCTCTGCCAAAATTTCTGGGAGCAGAAGCGTGTGCCGACACAATGGGAATGTAAATCGAGGTAAAATGTATTCATTCAAGGGAGTGGGGAGAGAACTAAATATAAACGCCCAGAATAGATGCAGTGCTGCAGTGAGTCTAAGCCAGCTCAATGGAGCTTGGCTGCCTAAAGGAGCCTGCATCCAGGATGTAAAATCTGACCTACTGGATTTGCAGTTGCTGGGAGGAGCCCCCAGTCCGAGGGAAGTCTACAGAAACTGCCAGGGTCAGCACCTGGGAAGCTCAGACCCTGACAAAAGAGAGGAAACCACCTCACAGCATCTCTCTGGGACTGTACGTGGACAGGAAGAGAAAGGGCCAGTTTTGCAAAGCCCGTTTTTTCTCTTTTTCTTGGGCTGTTTTAGGTGCTTCACCCCAGCTTTTGCCCTCCGTATCCACTGTTTTTTCCTCTCCCCCCCGCTCCCCGCCAAGGGAAAGCGAAGCGGCTTCTCAACAGGTGCTGTGGAAACTTGCACGGCTCCCGCGGCCATCGCGACGCGGGGAGAACCGCCCGAGTCTTTAATTTTGTAGGATGCTGCCGCCCCGCGACTCGTGCTCACAAAGCAGCTGCTTCGGCAGCAGCTCCGGAGCCACCCATTAGCCCCAGCGCCTCCCTACCGCGCCCGCGGTGCGCCGCGGAGCGGCACGGCGCGCCTCGCAGGCAGCGAGCCCGTGACTTGCAAATGACCGCACCCGGCACAGAGAATGCGTTAATGACAGGGGGCTGAACCACGGGAAAGAAATGCCCCGAAAGCCCCGGGTTGGTCTTGATCGCATTCTCCAGAACGGGGCAAAGCGCGGGGAGCAGCTTGCTTCAATAGACGCAAACAGAGAGAAGCTGCCTGTAATTAACATGTGCATTAACATCACAGACAAGCCCCTTCCCCTCGGATCCCCCGTGTCAGGATAACGTGGAAGGAGGTAAAAGCCCTCGACATCCCCTCCGTGAAACACGGATTATCTTTTTCACGCGATGCAAATTGGGGGACAAGCAGCTGCAAAGCTATACAATAAACTGTTTCATCCAAGGCAGAGCCAGCTTGGGAAGGCACGCCTAAGCTTGGGAAGGCCCGCCTTTAAAGCCCCCCCGTGTGCCCCCCCCCCCCCCCAACACACCTCCTTCCCACCCATGCAGGCAACCACTGTAGGCGATAGCCAAGTCTAAAAACTCGGAGAGGATCGATAATGTCTACTAAATATTCTGGAAGTGTATGAGTGTGGCAGGGAGGAGGGATGAGGATGAGGAGGGGGATAAAAGGGTGATTAATCAGATATTAATCACTGGCCACAAACAAGGGGAGATTATTTCGGGTAGGCAGCCGACTGTGGGGAGTTGCAGAAACTGTAGGCGATAGCCAAGTCTAAAAACTCGGAGAGGATCGATAATGTCTACTAAATATTCTGGAAGTGTATGAGTGTGGCAGGGAGGAGGGATGAGGATGAGGAGGGGGATAAAAGGGTGATTAATCAGATATTAATCACTGGCCACAAACAAGGGGAGATTATTTCGGGTAGGCAGCCGACTGTGGGGAGTTGCAGAATAGATCGTGTTACTGAAGGCATGCATGATGGGATCAGCACTTCACCGTTTAGCGATGCCTGTGTAATTTTGAAGGTGCACATTATTCAAACCACATATTTCTTCTTTTCTCGGTGTGTAGCATTTCCCTTAACTGTCTGCAAGCACAGACTTAGTGGAGATATTTGTGCCGCTAACTAGAGGTTTCCTTGTTTCTCTCCTTTCATGAACACAGAAGCAGGAAGAAAGCAAAATAGCTTCTGCCCCGAAAAAAGAGACAAAAAAAATTCCAACCCAAAAACCTCACATACATCAGGGAAAAGGGACCAAAGGAGGGAAGAGAAAAGGTGTCAATCCTTGCACCCAGCGGTAGACCATGCCTTCAAGGCTGAATTGCTAACGTACCTTTTCGATAGTCAGGGAGCCCTGCATGCATACAGAAAGCTGAGCGTGAAGCGCATTTCGGGCTGTGAGACGGCTACGCACACGCTGGGTTCCTCCGTAACTTTCCCCACGCAACGGGTTAAACTGGTAAGTGCATCGATACAGGCATTCCCGCAAAGAGCCCGTTGCTCGACCGAAAACCAGAAATGTAGGTAATCCCCCCCCCCCCACCCCCCCCAACCCTCAACCTTAAAAAAGTCACCCGTGGGATTTGCTTGAATATACACTAGTTAGAGGCTATATGAACCAACTCACGTCTCCGTTTGAGCATACTGCAAGAATATTTATTGAGCCCCCAGCTCAGTCACTGCATTGAACGCCAAGCCTGGCAAGCAAATACATTTCCTATTTCCGAAGAGAGCTCTGAATCAACTCCTTCTTTCCTCCCCGCTTTAGCGATCATTTATATCTTTCCATTGCAAAGTACCCAGGGTAAAAATATAAAATAAGAGATAAATATATTTTTAAATACACCTTGGCATAAGGCGAAAGCTTGCAACGCCCTGACCGAAAGCAAACGGACCCCTAAAAATATACCCCTCAAATACTACCCTACCTTTCACACACGAAACCATCAATAAAAAGACGAGGTTCCAAAATGTAAATCCACTTTTAATCTCCATTTTCTTCACCAGGATGAAGTCCAGCCGGCCACATTTAGTACATCCCCTTTCCCAAAAGTCTGCTAATTTCGATTCCTTTGCACGGATTTCCCCTCTGCAGATCCCTTTCATATTATTCTTGAGAGCTCCTAATTCCTATTCCTTGGCCAGGCGCAGCGGAGTTGTTGCTGTTGATGGTGCGCGGTCACAGCTCGGAGTGAATGGTGTTTCTGGGATACCACAGCAACCTTGACGAGGACTCAACCATCTCTCCAACGGGGGCACAAAGTCTCAGCTACTCTCGATCGTGTCTTTTCCCTCCCCCCACCCCCCCCCCACCCCAACCCCCCCCACATCCAAAACACCCACCACAATCCTGGCTCGCTACAGCATCCACCAGGAGCCACGGAAGAGCATCTTAAAGCTCAGACGCTCTCTCGAATAAACTCCAAACAGTATTTGCAATTGAGATTCTCCCCCCGCCCCCCTGTTCCCCCGAGAGGATCAGTTCTGCCTAGGAAAACGGCTCGGGAAATAATACAGTGGCGAGGCCTCCACAGCCT